TTCTGATTTAGCCCAAACCAGGACAAACTTTTAGTTACTTGGGGTTTATATTGCTCTTGGTTTTGGGGCTGTAGGACAGGCAGACTTCCCTGTCAGCCATATTGCTGTAGGTAAAATTGCTCCTTACAGTTTAAGTGTAACTACATTCAGAAAATGTGTTCTCATGTTCAGTGTTGAATATCATCTGATGCATGAAGTTCTGATTCTGGGCTTGATAGAGCCGAGTGGGTTGCTGCATGTTCACGTAGGCTCTGCTAGAATTTACTGATCAGGATTTTTCTGCTCTTCTTGCCTGAGAGGCTGGCTGTAGTAAGATATTTCAAGGCTGTTTATTATATTGAGTTTCCTCCAAACTGACTGTGCTTTTGCTGGAAGAATGAAGTTACCTACACCAGGTATATGATACCCAGCAAGTCCTTTGCTTTCAGGGCTTCAAACAGTCAGCTAAACCAGTAACTTCACTTGTAACTTCACTTGTAAACTACAGATCTAGGCCATTCTGAGTCACCTTCCTACTAAACTACACCTACTCTGATGGAATAGAGTCATCCTAGCTGCCACCTTAAACTAAATTTGATAGAAATATAGGAGTTTCAAAGAATTGCCTGTGTAGAAGGGACTTCTAGATTGGTGCTCACATTGGTGTAGGGGCAGCTGTGTGAGCCCCATGTTGGTTTGATTTGATTTGCTGTCTGGCCAGTCAGCCTGGATTCAACCGCAGCATGCATTGCTTTTGTGTAGCTGATAGCTTTGAGCATGAGTGAGGAGTCATGGCATTGTTGTGGGAAAGAGAAGGAAAAGACTTTCGGGGGGAGTATAGTGATAAAGGGCATGAATAGGACTATTTTGGAGTGAAGAATAGAGGAGCTGGATCTAGAGGAAATAAAGCTTTATTAGTTCTAACAAAGATCTGATGTATTGTTCAAAAGAAAAGACTAGGGCTCTGTGGGTCTCTCTTCACATTTGGTACCTTCCTGTAGAAGGGCATGGAAACTCTTGCTCAATGACTTACATGGATTATATAATTTTGCAAGTAGGTTAACTTTAATGTTCCTTTTCGGTGTTGTGTAATTTAAAAATTATTTTTTTTTCCCTTCTAGTAATGGATGCTATTTCATATGCTGCAAACCTGCTTTCACCTACCCCTTTCATTTTGCCTTATTGTGCATTGCTTCTGTATATTGTTCCTGTTACTGCTATTTTAAGTGATAACAATATTTATCCTCATAGAGGACAATGTATTTAAAATTACTCAAAAAGTTAAATTTTCTTTTGTGTTTGAAAGTGTGTCTAATTCTAATTCAAGCTACTTACGTTTTCCTGTGGCAGGCTGTAGTAAAACATCATCTGTTAATATTTACAAACACTTCAACTGCTGTGTTTGTTACAGAAATGGAAACTTTTTTTAACATTCTGCTACATTTGATGTACTTGATCTTTTCTGAATATGGAAAAAAACCCCACAAGACCCAGAAGATAGATATAGTCTAAAAACCTCTTTCAAGTGAAAGCCTTGTAACACATAGTTCAAGGAAATGTGTTAGGATATTCAGGTCTGCCACCTGGAGCATGTACAGGTTAACCCCTGGGCTTCTGCATATGTTATAACTTGTTCCATGCACATCTAGGTATAGATCTAAACCTGTGCATGTGCTGTAGTGTTGTGTACGTCAGCTGTACAAAAAGTCTCAGAAACACTTAATGTTGCCATTCTGTTTGATAAGTTCAGTTGTGCCACAGATGGACTGGTATGGATCAGTAACGGAATTCTTTTGCTTTGCAATTCATTGATTTGTTTCAAAGGTTATGTTCATCTGCCTAAAGCTAAGCATTATGTGCATTGCTGGGCTGAGGTCATTATGTGTATAATTATCCGGATATTTTGGATGCTTTTGAGACACAACTGCTTCTTTCCTTGCTGCTGCTTTTGTTTTGTTTTGTTTTCGTTTTTTTTTTTGGTAAGAGTCTTCCAAATCCTGGTAGTGAAATATGGTTGTTATATACCTCACACCAGAAAAATTATGTGCTTCCTAAATTAGTAATTACTGCTGTCTTTGAAATAGCATAGGTGAACAGGCCTAGTTAGAATTGGTATTCTGAAAAAGCCTCTTGCAAGTTGTTTATCAAGGTATACCAGGATTTCAATATGAATACTCCTTCTTTTTTTTCAGATTTAGAAGGCAATGCATATCAAAACAACCACCTGCTAAAGATCATTCTGGCCATGCATCAGTTTGTCATCTCCTCTGCAGACATGCTCCAGAAACTCATTGATCTATATCCTTTGTAATATTCACCTACTGTTAAGGTAATACTAGATAACTTGACAATTCCAAAATGGCTAAGTAGAGGATATTTAACCTATGGGTTTTTACTGTTATAGTTAAGCAATATACTTGTTCTTTACAGGTTTTGGTTGTATGGTGTGTTTTTCTTTGGTTTAAGGTTAGGGTTTTTTTATTTGTCTGTCTGGTTTAGCTTGTCATCCACACAGAAAAAAGATAAAACTCCAATTCCAAGTTTAAGAAGGATAAATCGCCCTCCATTGGCTGCAGAGGGAATATCTAGCAGCGGTTAGATTAATGTAGGCACCTCAATTAGGTACAGTGAACCTGGGCCTAAGTTTTCAGATCTTTTTCTTTCTTTGCCCCCCATAAAAGTAGAAGAACGAAGTATGAAAGTGTAATTTTTGAAAATATTCTGATTTTATGTCGAAAATTATATGTACAGAATATGTCGAAAATTTTCAACAAATATTATTTCTCACTCACACAATCAAACCTACAATGAACTGAAATAGATCATAAGCTTTTCCTTCCTATTTGTTCCCATTTGAGGTGACTGCCTGGGCTCATACATGTGTGTTTCTGGCTCATTAGATTTTTCACAATGAAGCTACTAGGTCGTATTGACAATACTAGCCTTTCTTAGAGATTTTTAGTTGTGGCATGTGTTACCTGACTTCTTTGCTTTGCAGAAGGTTTACTCCTAATTAGACGAGCACAGTACAGGAAGCAGACCTGACATACTAAGAATCTCCAGCCAGTTTTGGTACAATTTAATTTAGATAATCCTTTCTTCCCCCAAACTCTGTATGTTACTGGCTTTTAAAAGCAGCATCATTTACAACGGAGTAAATATAGTGTTGGATTCTGGCAGTCCTGTTGCTTCTCTAACCACAGGTGTTAGATCAAATGTGATGAGCTACAACTGTGGTGTAGTGTTGCACTTAACTTAGGTTCATGTGCTCTTTGAAAATGGAAGAAAGTTATTGCTTGCATGTTTCTGAGAAGTAGCGTTTCCTACAGTTAGAGAAGTGATTCAAACTTTTATCAGAGTTGCATGTTTTTCAATCTTAGTTTTGACTCTCTATGTAAAGACTCACCCTGTAGACATTGAAAGGTAAAGACAGTTACAGATCAGATAGTCTTGGCTCTTGTATTTTGAAAAACCTTGCAAATGTCACAGTTTCACAATTTTACATCCCCTAAATTACATGAGTGATTTTTAGATGGCTATGGATGATTTGTAGGCCGTCTACCTTGGGACATTCAGTTCGGGGCCCTTCAAAATATTTGGGAACTTATTCAGACCTCACTAGTTCTACAGCCAGCCTAATTTAAGCACTTAATATGAGTGCTTAAGTTGTGGATGGTATGTCCCCTAGGTTGCAGTAGATTTAGGCTGCAGCTAATTTCAGATTGTGGGAGGATCCACAAGGTATTTTCATTAAATTATGTTTTTTAGTACTGCGAGTATGTGTGTAATCTACAGCAGAAGAAGCAAGATATACACAATACATTTTCCAAATGGATTTTCCGTGTCTTCATAAGGCATTGGCTACAATGTCAGAATATGTTTTATAAATCCAATAGATGAAAAATATGGGTGTTTCTTTCCAGTTATCACAGCAAGTCAAACGAAAACTGTTGCATAGTTAGAAAGGTGAGGTTAGCAAGGAGAGGCATTTCACATTTTTCTCCACCATTGTATACATTGTATAAAAGAAAAGAACGTCTTTTTTTAATTTATTTTTTATTTTTTAAAAAGTTCCGGTGAATAGTAGTTAACTGAAAAGGATTTCTTTATAAAAGCAGTAATTGATACATTTGGTTTTACTGTTCCAAATTCTAGTGAGATGTGCATGAGTTTTATTAGAAATTGTGAGGCATGTTGCAAAGAAATACGTGTAGAAAGCAGAGCCATTTCAGTACTTAACACTGCTTAGTACTTGGGCAGCGACATCAGTACTACTCATAGTACTGGGATATACTTTGTATACACTTGCGTAAAACCCTAATCTGATATTATATGCCATCAGTAGAACGATTCCTATTGCTTACAGGTAGGGAAGTATCAAGCATGTTACATTTCATACCATATATGAATGGATGTGGTTTTCCTTAACAGTTTTTTTACCTATCTTAATGCTTTAGAAAATAAATCTTCCATGCTGTGTGTAAAGATATGCTATTTCGTGAGGTAAGACTGTTCTTGCTTGGTAGGTATTAGTCTGCAGCTATCCATGTGCCATACATAAGAATGCTTTTGCATATCTTAAGCTGATGTTGAAAGGAGAACCAGCTATACTGCTTCAGCTTTTCAAGGTTTGCTTTAGCAGCTTTACACAAAAAGGCCCAGCTGGCTTTGTGCAGATGCACTGAAGTCAGTGCATGAATTGTTGGGTCACAGTTTGAACTGAGTCTGTATGAACTTGTATCTTAAACATCAGAGAAAATTGACGGTGCTCAGGAATTCGTAGCATTGTGTCTAACATTATTATATAGGTCTATTAAAAAAATGAAATGGGATAGTGCAGCTATTTTTATATTAAGCAAAATTCTATTGTATTCAGTAGGTAATTCTCCTTAGTAATTCTAATTAGTCACTTGCAATGATCCTGGATCTTTTTTTTTTAAATTTTGTAAAGTTTGATATCTCAGTTTAGAGAACACAGAAGAGAGGAAAAAAAGATTCAAATCTGATAATAGATTAGCATATGAGATCTCTTTTTTTTTTACATTAAGTGGGAAATAAGTAGTAACAATTAGGAAAGTAAAATTTGTTTTAAATGGTGATAATTTTATTATCTCAAAGTAGATTGTTGGTTAGGTCAGAATGCTTCGGTATTGTATGTGATCTGGGAACATTTTTGCTTCTAGGCAAATTCATACGTACATGCATGCATAAGAATGTGCGTTTCCATTTTTCCAACAAGCACAGATTTTTACATGCATGGGTGTACTGGGTCTGTCTGGGGTAGAGTTAACTTTCTTCGTAGCAACCCTCTGATGCTATGCTTTGCATCTGTGAGTAAAACACACCAATGTGTTAGCTATTACTGAACAGGGATTGCGCAGCATCAAGGCTTTCTGTTTCTCACTCTGCCTTGCTGGAGTGTAGGCTGGGGGTGAGCTTGAGGTGGGGGAGAGGACAGAGCTGGGACAGCTCACCTGAAGTGACCAAAGGGATGTTCCATACCATACGGCATCATGCTGGGCAGTAAAAACTGGGGGGGGGGAGGTAGTCATTCCAAAGTAGCTGTTGCTTGGATACTGGTTGGGCATCTTGTGGGAGATGGTGAGTGATTGCCTTTGCATCACTTGTTAGGTTGGTTGGTTGGCTTTTTTTCTTTCATTCAGTTATTAAACTAACTTCATCTTGACCCACACATTTTTCTCTTTTTTGCCCTTCCTGTTCTCTCACCGATTCTGCTGTGTGGGGAGGAGTGAGCAAGCCCCTGCATGGGTATTTAGTTGCTGGCCAGGGTCAACCCACCACAATGGGTGACAAGTCACATATAGGAATTGAAGTATAAAATATATGGCTGAAACAATTTGAATGCCCAACATAGAAGAGTGTAGTTCTCTGAAGATATTTTATGCATCTGAGACTGAATTGCCTGTAAACTATTACATGTATTTAGTCAGTAAATTTTTATTCGGTTAGTTGATAAAATTATTCTGACTAGCGTAATGCATTTTTTTTATGTCCAGACCAAATAATTTCAAGTTTTAAAGGAATATATAAAATTATCTAAAAGTTCATGAACAAAAGATCAGCAGGCATATTATCTAGACATAATGTGAAACTAGAAATTTTAATATTGATTTTATTGCAAACATATATGTAGTATAGCTCTATACAGCATTGAGCCAGGTACTTTCTAATTCGCCTTTAATTTGAAATTTTTATTTTTGTTAGAATCAAGAGAGACTAGGAAAATCATCTAAAAGGAAGGTTTATCCCTTGAAGTTGGTCAAGAAGAAATACAACTCATAAACAGGAGCAACTATCTAAATTTCAGCCTTACTGATGTTAGAGCAAACCCTTTATTTTTGTTTCTGTATTTTCAATATGCAATAGGTACTGGATTACAGAGTTTTGGGTTATGTTCAAAATGGACTCTAAACTATCCGCAACTATGGAGGAATTTCAAGAACTGGTTAAAGCTAATGGTGAGGAGTTACACTGTCATCTAATTGACACAACTCAAATGTGAGTGCCAAAGTCTCAATATACTCAGAAAATACAATTTTGCTCTCATTTTCCTTTATTCAAATATAATGTCTCTCCAGTATAGCAGGATAATTGCCCCATAATGGGTTAATTTTAGTAAGTCGTACGTTATCTATCCTTAGAAGAGCATATACGTCATCATAGAGGAAATATATATTGTGTAGAGGAACAGAATGCCTTTCAATAATGGCTTAGATTGAATTTAATAGACTTTATGCTGATTCTCTATGCTAGATAAATTTTACTCTATCCAGGGAACACAGAAAATGTGTAGAGACCTAATGATTTTGAAAGATCACTTGAAGTCAAAGAGAAAGGAGAATACATTTGGATTGGGTAACAGATGAGATAAAGTGTGTTTATATTTTTAATACTAAAGGTAAGTGAGAAGATACAGTTTATTGCATTGTCAAGCTCTTGATACTATTTTATGTGATTTTAGTTATAAAATTACTTGTTCTGTCAAGAATAAATCCTACAGCTGCACATCATGTAGTTCTTTCTTGAGAAGAGAACCTTCCTTGTTATATGAGAGTAAGATAGTTCTGTGGAGCTGTGTAACAGCATCAATTCATACTTCAGTTGGAAATGCACAGGCAAAAGCAGAGCAGAATTTGGCATACATTTTATATCTGGTTATGAAAGAGGGTATTTAGTTTTTCAAATACAATTAAGTTTCATTACTCCATGGGTGAATAGCATAGTGGGACAGCTCATGCTCAGGGGCTGCTCAAGGAAATCTGATTGAATTCTTAAATGGAGGAGCACTGGATGTGTTCAATGAAGACAAAGTTTACGGACAGCAATTCTGGAAGTGCAATATATAGTCTCATGCTGTTTAGTAATGTACTTGTATTGTGCTTGCATGCTACATCAATATAATAAAGATCAACAACAGTGTTTTGTCATAGAACCTCTAACGCGTGAAAGGAGCTTGCTGTTTAGAAATTCAAATAATTCACTTTTTATTGCAGTAAGGCATGAAAACAATGTTACTTTTCTATTAGGGAGAGAAGAAAAGTTTGCTCTTCAGAAAATAACTCAGGGTAATCCCATTTTAAAATTTGTCTAAAAGAAATTCTAGAGATTGGTCAAGAAAGCTGACACAGCGTGTAAAGGCCAACACCAGTAAGAAACGGAAAGTCTCACTTCTTTTTGATCACCTTGAGCCAGAGGAGCTGTCGGACCACCTTACCTATCTTGAGTTTAAGTCTTTCAGAAGAATATCAGTAAGTGATTTTTGTTTGTTTGTTAATTTATTTTAAACAAAGATGGGAAGGGTGTAGAAAATATGGGAGAGGGGTAGTTATTACAAGATAAACCCTGCAGTGCGAGCTGTTGGACAAGCTGAGCCTGTATCTAGACTCTTTTTGTTTTACTTGAGTTGAAGTTGGACAGTGGTACGTATTTTGAGTACGTACCCTTCTGCTGCAGTCGTTTGAGAGAGTGAACGTTTAAAGCAACCATGAAACAGTGTTGGTGCAAAGTCAGTTGGAAGGAAGAGGAGTAAGCCATTTGATCTTCTTCCAAATAATCTTTTTTTTTTGTTAGAACAAGTGATGTGTCGTTGGACACAGGAACAAGCAGCCTCCTTTGACTCAAATCAGTAATCAGGCTGCAATGGGATGAAGGAAACTTGGAATATGCTCCTAGAACACTAACCTCCTGTGGCTGTAGGAAACAGTGCAGCATTCTTGTGCAGAGACTAATGGACTGTCTATATAGAAAATGTTCACTGGTCTCTGCTTGCCTTTGATTGTGCATGACACAGTAAAGTCTAGGGATAAGAAAGCACTTGAGAAAATGCCATTTTTTTAATGTAAGGAGGCTCTAAAATATTTGGTTAGACAAGCTTTCAAGTACACAAACCATTCTTAAGAATTTATCTCATTTATGTGTTCTTTCATTTGATTTGTTTTCTTGGCTATGTTGGTAGCTGATAAGATGCTAACTTCCCTATGCACCTTGGCTTCACTTGCATCCTTGTATGCTGCAACATTACTTCTATTCAAACCTGATACAGTTCACAAAAGAAAAATGAACATTAGAGACCAAAATCTAAGATAGTTGCAAAGTCAGTGTGATAAGCAAAGTGGGTTTTTTAGGGTTTTTTGATTTGGTTATTTAGTTTTGTGTTGTTTTGGGTTTTTTAAACGCTACAATTTGAAGATGAAGTCTTGCAAGGAAAGGGGTTCTCAATAGATTGTGGAAGATATCACAATTGTCTGTTAGCGAACTTTATTTTGAGCTGACAGTACATGACTCCTCATGTTTTGTGTTAAATTGAAAAAGCCATAGAACCAAAGTCATGCACAGATTGCTGCCTGTAGGCAGTAATAATATGCAAAGCTTACGCAACTCTTAACATTTTCAAGGTCTGTGCAGACATAAAGTAATTAATGACTAATGAGCATAACAAGTATGATTGCAGTCAGAGTGTCAGATGTGTCATAGACTTCCAACAGTTACATACTTGTATACATTTTATATGCAGGGTCCCTGCATATGTTTTGGTATAAACTGAGTTTACCAAGACCTCAGATCAGAATATGTGTAATTAATAAATAGCTATATTCTTAACTCTTTGCAGAATGTGTTTATGATTCACTAAGCCACAGAATCCTTTTGTTGTTCTAATATGGCAGCATATACTGGGAGAAAGGCCACAAATGACCTGCTGTGTTATCAGTCACTAGAATAACTATTCATAGGTTCGGTCATTTGAAAGTCGGAAAGGAATACTTGATCCCCTGAACATAGACAGCACACAGCAAAATCTTCCCCGAGACACCATGTATCTTGCAGCAAGGAAAAATGCAGGGAGTGGTGTTCACAGACTAATGACTGCAGGTATGCTGGTGTTTGGAAACCATTTTAATTTATAGTTATAAAATACAGGGAGGCTACACACTTTTGTAAGAATCTGGATTCTGCTTTCCTGTTGAGCCTAATAAGTTAGTCATTGGAATACCAGACTCTTGCATTATTTATGTACCTGGAGTTCTTTACCATTATCTGCCACTAACAGTCCTGTTACAATTGACCTCATTAATAATTTCTTGCACAAAATTATTTTGAAACTTTAAGTAGTATGTTAGATATAAATTTGTTCAGCGTTTAAAAAAAAAATTATTTTCTGAAGAAGAGAGTTGCTGAGAACAAACTATAAACTAATCGAACTGATTCGTAATTGTACTGAAACTGCTATGAAGTCCATAATTATGTAGTCAGATATTGAAAAAATCATCTATCTGTGTAGAGTAGTTGCTTAAATTTCAAGATGCAGACAAATCTGGCTGGGGTTCAAAATTTGAACAGCGGTTGTAAGTAAGTACTATGTAATCTCAGAGACAGCTCTACTTATTACTGTTAATGTTTCTTCCATTTTTAACTTAATAAGAGGACATGTCTGCTGTCATATCTGCTTTTTAAAGTGTTAATAGTTCTTATTAAATGGATGTGAAAAAGTTAAAAAGTGGAGAGGAAGTGAGAGAGGGAGAGCAAGAAACGAACAGCAGCCTGACAATTGTTGACCTTTTCTTAAGGATCAATGCCATTCAGCATATTCCTGTGGCCTTAAGAAAAGAATATGTGTTTATTACAGCTATGAATGTTTTTGGTAAAATGTTAGTATTGGCGGTCGTAGTAAAGAGGATGTATAAATCCCTTGTCACATTTTCTGATAATTCAAATTCGTGTGTATTCTTGTTGATGAATAAATCAAAAGAATGGATAAACATTGCATCAACAAAAACAAATGATTGCTTCTCTTTGATCTTAATTGGAAGAATGCCTTTAAAAAAAAAAAATCTATTTGTCACATAAAGCTGCCTACTGAACAATTTTAGATCGCTTTGGTTAAATAAGAGAATCTCACAAGCTGTATTACAAATATTATGGAATCTGTAGCCCTCATTCTTAATGGTCTTATCTCAGTCTTATATTAATTTCATTGAACTTGCTTTTTTTATTTCATTTGAAAAGCAGACCTGTATCTGCACACAGATAGTAAGGTAGATGAAACTAGGTGAGTTTCCATATACATTTTTTTTTTTAAGTTCTCAGATTATCAAAACTACATTATGAATAGTTGTGTGAAGGAGAATCCAACAATGGAAAGATCAATTGCTCTTTGCAATGGAATCTCTCAGTGGGTACAGCTTATGGTTCTCAGCAGACCAACACCACAGCTTCGGGCTGAAGTGTTCATCAAGTTCATTCATGTTGCCCAGGTCAGTTAAATTTTAACGTAAATTTTATTTTGTCTTTCTCTGATACAGCCCTTTAGTTGTTCTTCCCACACTTCTACTGTAGGGTCAGCTGGGAGTGTTGGCACTGGTCTCCTGGTTCATACATACAGCATGTATATTTGTGTGTGCTGTGGTTTCATACCAAGTATTTGGATATTACAGTGTCATGACACCATGACTTTCTCATATCCATTCTGAATAAATTGTTTTCTCTGAGATCTAGACTCGCTTTTGAATCAGCTAGTGAGTTTCCAAGCTGTGACTGTGTACCTTTCCAAAGCGTGAACGGCTATCGTGCCTTTGGCCATAATTAGAAGCATTTCTACCAGATACGCCTTACTAGATAGAAGCAAAGCTATGGTCCTATTGCTATTCTTTGCATACTAATTCAACTGCCGTTATAACCAAGATGATAGACAGTGTTTCCTAGTTGTGGTAGACTGTGGGAAGAGGGAGAATTACTGAGGAAGTACTTTGAAGACTTACTGTATCTGCAGAATTAATACCTGATGTAATAACAACAGAGTAAGTATGTTGCACACAGTAAAAGGAATGAAGTCAAATGGATAGTGGCACAAAACTTGTAAGATTTTAAGGGAAGATAATACAGGAAATGTAGAATTTGGATGTGCATATTGAACAACTTGAACTTTATTGAACAACAACTTACTAATTAAAGTACTGATTTTTTTGTATGTCAACACAGAAGCTCCACCAGCTGCAGAATTTCAATACATTAATGGCAGTGATAGGAGGTCTCTGTCACAGTTCCATTTCCAGACTCAAGGAAACAAGCTCATGTGTTCCTCATGATGTAATTAAGGTTGGTATTGCTCCTCTAAGTTTTACAAATAAGATAATCTTTAACTTTTTTGTCATTGCACACAGAAAAAACAACCTTACTTCATTGGATAAGATGGAAAGACAGAAAAAAAGAAAAAGGAAGACTTCCTTTGGTTTTGGAGGGTTTTCCTTTGTCATTTCATCTCTACGACACCAGTTACTCCTATGCTTCCAACCCCAGCTTTCTTCAAGATTTGTATAGCTTCTCTAAAGGTTCTCTTTTAATACTCACATGTGACGAGCTGCATTTTCATTTAAGTGCAGTAGTACAGAATAGCATTCAAACATGAAAGCAGACACTTGGAGCCTAGAACATTTGAAAACAAAACTATTATCATTCATAGCAACACCTACCATCCTGAGTCTATGAAATGCTAGCACAGAGCTCTGCACTTTGCGTTTAAAACTGAAAGGACTGGTTCTGTTCA